CTATTCTGATGATATTTTTTGATTTCACTGGCAAAACACACTTATTGCTAAGATATGGTTTTAAATAACATGCTAAGGTGCCTCAGGTCCACAGTACTGTCCATTCAGTGATGTTACCGCAGGCCATCTGTAGTATTTACAGTCAACTAAAGTACAAAAATAGGAGTCTCCTACATTCTTCAGGCCTAAACAGCCTCCTGTGTAATATGTAGCTTCTGCTGCTGAGAAGTAGAAAACGTGTAATCATTCAGCACAGTTTCTCCTTTTTAACTATCCACCTACCTCGCCATCAGTCATTAGCCACAACGTTTACAGCCAACCATCAACACTGACAGATAAAATCAAACTACAGTTATAAAACAGATAGTTCCAGTCCTAAAATCTGATTGGCTGAACTGCGTTTGAGGCTGATGTAAAATATATGATATACGCACACCGGCCACTTCACAACAACTGAACCCTGTATCACTGCGCCACGTCACCAAAAATCCTTGCTCTGTGAACGGAATAATCTTTGACTCGCATGCTGATGGAGCACCGAGTGTACTGACGAAGTAAGAACCCGGTTCTGTGTAAACTGGGGGCTGACAGCTTATTTTCTTTAGAATTAAACATCACAGGCTTGAATTAAAATACTTATGATATAATTCACTGTAAAACGGCAGCATAAAAGTCTAAAAAATGTCACTCGAATGTCTTACACGCTTCAAACGTCTGTGTTTGTCCAAGTAAAGTCAAACCCAGGCTGAGTCCCAACCGCTCCATACTCCCTAAACAGTGTGCTAGCTATTGAGGTTTTGAAATTCTTGTAGTGCACTCTGCGTCGAGTGTGGATGAGTCTGAGTCCCAAATGTCTGTTTCTTAGCTGTATTTTGCTCTGCTGGGCTGCAGCGTCCAGTATTTAAACTCCTAAGTAGTGCACTACGTAGGGAGCAGGGAACTGTTTGAGATCCAGCCCCAGCGTGAGAAGAGGGCGCCGTTAGACTGGTACTAGATAAGACTTGCAATGATAACTTGGTGGCCAAAAAGTACTTAACAGCAAAGGTTTCTGCATGAGACAGTGCTGTGTTATCGTACGTTCATTATTATATGACAAAAAGTTAAGACATGAAATGACCGCAGTGAACAGCGATGGGCGACCGAACATTCTCTTCATTCAGCGGTCCATGGTTGCTTGGCATTGATACCAAACTCTAAAGGTGTGTTTATGTTGATTATTAACGATTATTCCGAAAAAATGTGTATTTTATAATTTGTGTTGGCCACCATTGTATAAAAGCAATAAGGCACTCAAGGCCGTACTTTACAATTATTTTATCACAGGAAAAAAGGTTTCGCTTGCATCATGCCTACGGACACCCTTCCCTGTGATAAAATCACAGTAATGCACAGCCTCTCTTGGCTTATTACACAGGGGTGCAGGAAGTGGTTTTGATTTCAGGATTGCATCTGTTAAAAATAATAATGAAAATAAAATGTTTAGAACTTTTTAATAATTTAAGTAAATAAATAGAGGTGTGCGGATTCGTTTCGTATTTGTACACTCTAAACATCTGCAGCAGCTGTGCTGTTAAATGAATGCTGTATTTTCACCGAAAACTGCTGGACACTTTGGGGTGAATTGTTCAAACACACACAGGCTGAGGTTCAAAGAGAGGAAGTCTATGCAGAGTTATAGGCTGGTTGTGAGACACAAAGAAGCTGATATTGTATTTTTAATAATATAACATAACTAGAAATATGCAGTTTCTGAAGGAAATGCAGAATGGTTGTGCAGCTTAAATGGTTCTTACTTCCTACTAGGTTGCTAGGTGGTTGCTATGGTATCCAAGGTGGATGCTAAGGTGTTGCTAGGCGGTTGCTACTGTAGCACAGGTTGTTGCTATGGTGTTGCTAGGGGTTTGGTACCAAATCCCAGGTGGTTGCTAAGGGACTTGTAGGCAGTTGTTATGGTATCCCAGGCAGTTGCTAAGATGTTGCTAGGCAGGTGCTATGGTATCCCAGGTTGTTGCTAAGACGTTGGTAGGCAGTTGCTATGGTATTCCATGCAGCTGCTAAATTGTTGCTAGGCAATTGCAATAGGGAGTTGCTAAGTGGTAGCTATGTGTTGTTGAAAACTAATGGGTGTCTATTTGAGGAATGAGGGATGAAAAAACAACACATAGAGGAGTGCAGGTCAGTGTGGCTGTGGATTAGAGCTCCGGGATCTGCAGTGAGTGACTACACGTACTTTGGTGGCCGTCGGTAAGAAGATAGATCCAGAGTTAAATCCTACTGCCTGACTGTGGGTGTGACACTGTTGGGTATCGTGCCACAAATCAACAATCTGATTGGTCGCCCCTCAGTTCATTTGCCTAAAGTTCGTCCAGAACAAGAGAGCAGAGGTTTGATGTGTCAGTTACATGTAATTTGTTGTCTTTTGTGTCATTATAGCACTGTATGATGTTTTGTTTGACGTAAATTAGCAAAAAAAAAAAAAACTCAAATCATTTTTACTTGACATCATCAGTCACGTCACATAAGTGCTGCTTAAAATTTCAGCACCTCCAACCGAAAACACCTTCCCGCATCCCTGACTTATTGGCTTGTTTTGGGCCACAAACAATACAAGTAAATGCGAACAACACAAACACATTCCTAGAGGTAGTGTTGTGGGTGATTTACAGCTGCTGTAAACTTTACAGACGTGGGAGAAATCATTACATTTACTCATACGACTCTTCTCTTTTCAAAAATCTGACTCCTCGTCACACAAGTAGATACAACACCAACAAATATGAAACTAGCAGATGAGCTAATAAAGCGTAACAGGTGGCGGTACATGGACAAGAGGATAATCAGAGACCCCCAGTGTGAAGAACATCTCTTACTGAGCACCTCACGTACAAAGAAACCAGCGCAGTATTTAAAGAATACCGTTTCTCCATGTATACGGTCAGCATGCACAAACATAAAGTTAAATGTGGAGCTGCTGTTTGGACTTTTTGGCTTGTAAGCCCACCACAAACACAAGCCCACCACAAACAGTACTCTTTGATATCTGATTGGGCTAATTAATACTTCATTTAATCAAATCAAGTGTGCTGCTGATTGAATATATGTAATGTCTGGAAAAATCCAGAACCAAACTTTGTTCTTCCAACTAGAAATTCATGTCACTGTTTAGTGCAGTGGTCTCCAACTCTGGTCCCTGAGAGCTGCCTTCCTGCAGAGTCCAGTTCCAACCTGTATCCAATAAGCTGCCCTTAACTCTAATACATCTAATCCAGCCAATCAGGGACTTGGAGGAGGTTGGTTAGCTGGAGCAAGTGTGGCAGGTTATGGTTGGAACTGGACTCTGCAGGAAGGCAGCTCTCCAGGACCAGAGTTCGAGACCAGTGGTTTACTGTATTTATGTTCATTTGGATCTGTTCTGATGATATTTGGTGATTTCACTGGCAAAACACACTTATTGTTCAGATATGGGATTTAAATAATGTGCTGAGGTGCCTCAGGTCTCAGAGCTGTTTGAGATTCAGCCCCAGCATGAGAAGAGGGCGCCGTTAGACTGGTATTACATAAGACTTGCAACGATAACTTGGTGACCAAAAAGTAATAAAAAGCAAAGGTTTCTGCATTAAACAGTGCTGTGTTACACGCTTAAAAATAAAGGAACTAAACTGTACTCTTTGGGAATAAAGGAACTAAACTGTACTCTTTGGGAATAAAGGAACTAAACTGTACTCTTTGGGAATAAAGGAACTAAACTGTACTCTTTGGGAATAAAGGTACTAAACTGTACTCTTTGGGAATAAAGGAACTAAACTGTACTCTTTGGGAATAAAGGAACTAAACTGTACTCTTTGGGAATAATTACTGACCACTGCTCACTGTGGAGAACTACTGCCATCACGATTGCTTTAGTGAAGCCTAACATAACAACGATGACATGCAGTAACTATAAATCATAGTTTACTATATTCTTCTTTATTGTTATTATTATTAGCAACAACCACAACTAATTGGTTCTACTCTTCACTCTACTGTGAACACATGAGAAAAATAAATGAATAACAACTTAATTGACCTCACCATTAAAATCCTCCAGATTTCTTGAACCAGTTCCAGCTGTGTTTGTCTGAAGATGTTTGTGATGGTCCAGTTGGCCGAGAGCTGGACATGCTGAACTGCTGCGTAGAAACAGGCGTCTCTCCGAACACCCTGACAAACCGCCTCACAACTTTTCTGTGCTGCTGAGAAGCTGCAGGCGAAGTTACTCTGAGCCTTTCAGTGAACCTTTTCCTTAAAACAGCCTTTTCAGGTTTGCTGGGTTTCTGTAAAGCACTTTAGGTCTTTGTCTTCAAAATAAAGGTCCTCTACATCACATGAACACCTTATAAAATAAATGTGAGCTCAAATCAAAGGCTGTCTGCTCTCCTTAATGCTGCCTGATCTGGTAGCCATGTGGATCCACATGCCAGTCAGATCTGCTGAGTCCATGAGCTGCAGATCAGACGAAATCAAGGAAAGCTGGGCTGCGTTCAGCCCCAACTAAACGTGGTAAAACATTCATTTAAATAGAAACAGTGGTGCGTTGAACACTCTGTTGTGTTACACAGGCCATTCTTAACGTCCTTCTAGTTTATTCTGTTAAAAAATTACAATAAAATACTACAAACGTGTCTCCTAATGTTTTCAATAGTTGTGTACACCAAGCTGCAGAGGTCTCAATTGTAGAGAGTGTAATAGAAAACATTGCGTTTAAAATTGTTTTAAAATAGTGGGGTTTATATACACCTCGCTGCTGATTGGGTAACACCTCTGACACGCCCATAAAATGAGAGAAAACACACCTCAAAACCCACCACACACCGTTTCACTGTTTCTACCAAACATGACGTTCAACATGGAAAACACTAGCAAAATGAGTGACAACATTTTGAGATTGACCGCGCCCCCCGGTAGGAAAGGAAGTTTCACTGAACAGCCGAGATCATACTGAAAAGAAATACATGGGCACTTATTATTATTATCATTATTTTTATATATGAGACACATTTCAAATGCAGTTTCATTACAAACTGAACTCCAAACACTGAAGTGCATTAACATTTTGGTACTTTACACCTGTGGTCACCAGCCCTGCTCTGAAGATCTACCTTCCTTCCAGACTTTATCTCCAACCCTGATCACCTGATCCTAATTATTGGCTTCAGAAGTCCTTGATTAGCTGAAAGACGTGTGTTAGATTTGGGTTGTGGGTGAAACATGCAGGACGGTCGATCTCCAGGAGGAGGACAGGTGACTCTACATTTATTCCTTTTCCATAAGTGAGGTTGATCAGACAGAACCACATAGACTCACTGCTCACTGTTAATGGTGTGTAAAATGTTAAATAATAATAAAATGTCTGAGTTACTCTTTAAATAGTAGCCATCAAAAAGTATTTTGCTCTTTTAACGTGTGAGCTGTGTGTTTTATTCTGTTTAAAGGTTCTAGCACTGCTTCAGGTCTCTTGTGGTCTGATGTGGAATTTAGCAGATCAGTGCTGCCCTCTAGTGGTGAGACAGAGAAAACTCCAGAGACACAAAAACACCCACCTACACACTCTTGCACACGTTTGTATTTATATGTTTGTAATTTGCACTGTAATGTGTCTAAAAGCTCCTTCACAAACAGTTATTACATGAAATAAGCTGCCTGACGTCTGAGATGTTTTATGTTTTAAAGATGTGGTGAACTATAACTATTAGGTCTACACCAGTACTACAAGGTAGGTGTTTCTAATAAAGTGGCCAGTTAGTGGAAGCACAAGGTAGGTGTTTCTGATAAAGTGGCCAGTTAGTGGAAGCGCAAGGTAGGCGTTTCTAATAAAGTGGCCAATTAGTGGAAGTACATGGTAGGTGTTTCTAATAAAGTGGCCGGTGAGTGGAAGCACAAGGTAGGCGTTTCTAATAAAGTGGCCAATTAGTGGAAGTACATGGTAGGTGTTTGTAATAAAGTGGCCGGTGAGTGTCGTGTTCAGGTTAGTGTCTGTAAGCTGGTTAACAGTCCAGAGTTTTCAGTGTTTATGAGAGAGTTCAGTCGGAGTGAGTGGTGTGTTTGTAGGTGTTTAGCAGTCGTAGTAGTTGTTCTTCATGGCGTACAGCAGAGCAGCATCAGCGTCAGAGAGAGACTAGCAGACAGACAGAGAGAGAGGAGGATTAACCACTAACACATGTAGCTGATCTGTTAAGACATGCTTGACTTTTTTGCTTATGTAGCTTTAGCACTAGAGCTATGAGGCTAATACAAGTAATGAAACCTTATACTCACCAAGTACCTGGGAATCTACAACACTAACCTAAACAGCTGCAGGGTAAATGGGAGGGGCTAAACAGCTGCTGGGGAAATGGGAGGGGCTAAACTGCTGCAGGGTGAATGGGAGGGGCTAAACCGCTGTAGGGTGAATGGGAGGGGCTAACCCGCTGTAGACTAAATAGTGGATTTGTTTAAATGTGTTGGGCTGTTTTTTGTGGTTTAGTTTCCACATGTGGACTGTTTGCACTGGGACATGAATGACATACTGTGAAACGTTTAACTTGCTGATGTGGTTCTGACGGTTTATGTCCAACTGTGTTTTGTCCATTTTTGTAGATAACTGAAAAACTAATGTAATGAACAGCCAAACTGGTCTCACCTGACAGTCAGATCTCACCTCTGATGTTTTCTACAATAAAAGAACAGGACAATAAAAATAAAAGTCCTCAACTCATCCATTTAAACACTGTGTGTGTGTGTGTGTGTGTGTGTGTGAGAGACGTACACGTGGGTATTTGTGCAGGTTGTTGTAGATGGCGTCTGTGGTTCTGATCCACTCTCCCCATATCAGTTCGTCCTCTGTATTCTGTCTGTGCTCCCTGTAACACACACACCAATACATGTTTGTGTAATGAGATATGCAGTAACTCTCGACATATTATATTCATATGTAAACGCAAAGTGTTTGACCTATACAGACAAAGTTTGTAAACAAATTTTTTTTAGCAGGGTTGACAAAGCCAGCCAGCATCGCTTTGGAGTTAAAGCGGCTGCAGGACACTGTGGATTGTTTTTGATTTCTCAATTGGGTTAATATAGCAATTCCAGGTAGTTGCTATGGTGTTGCTAAGAGATATTCCAGCTTGTTGTTAACACATCGCTTTGTGATTGTTGGGTGGCTGGTAAGTTGTTGCTAGGTTGTTGCTGTTCTGTCCCAGGTGGTTTCTATGGTGTTGCTAGGCCGCTGCTATGGTATGATATCCATGGTATAATATATGCTGCTGCGAGTCGCCCTGTAAAGCCTGAAGTAATCATTTAAAGTTAGAGGTGTTGAGTCAGGAGTTTTCACATCACGTGGTACGTCTTTATGTATTAATGTCACACAGGCTCAAAAAGAAGGTCCGGCTCGATGTTTCGGCCTCAAATGGTCTCAAAATCAACATCATTCTGATGAAGATGTGATGACAGTAGTAGATAATTCACTCACATCCTCAGAAGACGCTCCTTCACCAACTTTAGACTGAGGTCTCTCTGAGTTCTCTTTCAATCAGGTTCATCCACTCAGGGAGGAGGGCTGAATCACATGCCACGAAGTGTTATTTGGCATGTTGCATGCAGTTACATATTTCCACCAAAGAGGTCTCCAAATCCCCAAAAACCCTCTGTCTGAAACACTCTGTTAGAGCTCCTGTTTGGTTTTTAAGCCCCTCCTCCCATTGAGCCCAGTATGCTCTGATCGGTCAGCCTCCAGAGCGGTTCCACCCCTGCACGTTCCGCCCCTGTCCTGCAGTCAGCAGACAGACCCTTCTCTCCTGAGCAGCTGTAAACTCTGTGGCTGTTTCTCCAGCAGCGTCGGTTTTGCCGGATCAGTTTGATCCAGAGTGGATCCTGAAAGTCCGATCAGTGTCTCTCCACACGCTACAGCACTGAACACACTCTTCCTCCTCCAGTAGCCGCTGTGGGCTGTGTAAGGGGGTGGAGCTTGCCGGTAGGCGGGCAGTAAGGACTGTGTTACGAGATGATGTCATCCTGTAACAAAGGAAAAGGGCTGGAATTCCAACGAGGCGTTTCAGGCAGCTAAAAAGTGGGTTCTGTGGGAGAGAGTTTCTCCCTCTGGAGGGAACGCTGAGCTTTGGGGCTTTGCAAAACGTTTACATGCACAAAACGCTACATGACACTCTAAAGGAAAAAGAAATACCGGAAAAACATAACAGGTCCCTTTTGAATAAAGTTTAGACAAGTGCGTGTCACAGCTGGTAGTTGGTAATGACTCTTGGGTCTGGATGGTATTCAGAAAATATACCAGAACCTTTTTATAGAGCATTACATTCATGTTTACTTCATATTATACAACACCATTTCCAAAAAAGTTGGGACACTTTGCAAAATGCAAATAAAAACTAAATTCAGTGATATGCAAATCATTTAAACCCTCTATTTTATTGAAAATACTACAAAGACAACAAATCAAATGTTGAAACTGAGAAATGTTGTTGTTTTTTGAAAAATATAAGCCCATTTTAAATTTTATGCCAACAACACGTTCCAAAAAAGTTGGGACGGGGGCCTGTTTACCACTGTGTTTCATCACCTCTTCTTTAACAGCACTCTGTAAGCATTTGGGAACTGAGGAGACACTGCTGTAGTTTAGAAAGTGAAATGTTTTCCTGTTCTTGTTTGATACAGGATTTCAGCTGCTCATCAGTTCAGGGGCTCATTTGTCATATTTTTTATTTCATAATGCACCAAATGTTATCAGTGGTGACAGATCTGGACTGCTGGCAGGTCAGTTTGCCACCCGGACTCTTAATATGGAGCAATGCTGTTGTAAAACATGCAGAATGTGGTTTAACATCATCTTGCTGAAATAATCAAGGCCTTCCCTGAAAAAGATGTCGTCTGGATGGCAGCATATGTTGCCAAAACGTGTATATATATATATATATATATATATAAATGGTGCCTTCACAGATGTGCACATCACCCATGCCATGTGCACTAATGCCCCCTATACCATCATGAATACTGGCTTTTGAACTGTGCACTGAAAACAAGCTGAGTGGTCTTTAGCCCAGAGGACACAGTGTCCATGATTTCCAAAAAAGAATTTCAAATATTGATTCGTGGGACCACAGGACACTTTTCCACTTCGCCTCAGTCCATTTTAAATGAGCTCAGGCCCAGAGAAGGTGGCAGCGTTTCTGGATCCTGTTTATATTTGGTTTCTTCTTTGTGTTTTAGCGTTTTAACTTGCATTTGTAGATGCAGTGATGAACTGTTTTCACAGACAGTGGTTTTCAGAAGTGTTTCTGAGCCCATGTAGTGTTTGTTGCCCCCGTCCCAACTTTTTTGGAATGTCTTGCTGGCATCAAATTCAAAATGGGCATATTTTTTTGAAAAAACAATAAAATTTCTCAGTTTTAACATTTGATATTTTATCTTTGAAGCATTTTCAATTAAATATAGGTTTTAAATGATTTGCACATCACTGCATTTTTTTTTTATTTACATTTTTCACAGCGTCACAACTTTTTTGGAACAACTCCTTACAGCAATTATACAGGCTTATGCCAGGCATTATAAGGTATTATACCTACAATATAATGTCTTATAATTGTGTTTATAAGCACTGTGAATACAGGATTCAGAGGAAGTGCTACTTTGATTCTTTTAGATTGTCATCATAAAGATATAAAGGCATGTTTTTTTGAGAAAACAAATTCTGAGAACCAACATCTCTTACAGTGCTCTGTGTACGAGTTGTTTCTGGGCGTCTCTCTCTCTCTGGGCGTCTCTGAATCGGCCCCTGAGGGCCAGCGCTGCACTCGTCTGACTGGCATTCAGCAGCAGGATGGATAGACAGAGGGAGGACAGGACCTGGGAACTACAAACACAACTGTTTTACTCATTGATGATTTACAGGTTAAAAGCAGAAGGTGGAACAGTTTTTACACAGATCCATTGATACCTCCAGTGAAAGCAGCAGTGACCAGAGAACTGGCTAACCTGCTAAGATAGCTTGTTACAGAAGCCCTAAAGCAGGAGTGTCCACTCCGGGTCCTGGAGATCTACCACCCAACCACAGTCTGTCACACCTGATCCAGGTGATGAATATCTGAATATCAGAGCCAAGTGTGTAAAATCTGGACTGTCCAGAGTGGTAGACCACCAGGAGCAGGACTAAGGACCCCTGTCCTAAAGGCCATGGATCAACATCATGTGATGTTTATCTCATTATCACAGCAAACGGAATGTTGTTAATTATATCATTATCATGACATGTGGGACTTTTATTAATGTGACATTTATTATGTCGTGATAATGCCATAAATATCTCAGGATCTCAAGAAAACAAATGAAAACATCACAGAGTGAAAGCAACATGATCCGAGAACTGGCCAGAGGAAACGTAAATATTACCGACGTAATATTAATGAAATGTATTAATCTGTTTATACTGACGTTGAGAGCTTAAGAGATAATAATTGAATATAAAACATGAAAGCGGTGTGATTATTTTATTTCTACACCACAATCTTGTTAAGTATGTAAGCATATCGTTGCTGTTAGAACGACAAAGTAACTTTACAGAAGAAGCAAAACATATTTATAACTTTACTGTAAGTTAATGTGAGAAGATTTTATTCTTAAGTCATTTTAAACATTTCTACTGCTCTGTTGATCATGAAATGTTCACAGTGTAAATGGAATCTGGTTACAGATTATTTCTATACAGTCGTGTGTAAAAGTTTGAACACCCTCTGGTCAAACTACATATTGTGATGATTTTCTAAGTGACAATAAGTTAGCACACTTAAACATGGCATTTTACACATTACATACACACCGATCAGGCAGAACATTCTGACCACCTCCTTGTTTCTACGCTCATTGTCCATTTTATCAGCTCCACTTACTATATAGGTGCACTTTGTAGTTCTACAGTTACAGACTGTAGTCCATCTGTTTCTCTGATACTTTGTTAGCCCCCTTTTACCCTGTTCTTCAGTGGTCAGGACCCCCATGGGCCCTCACAGAGCAGGTACTATTTGGGTGGTGGATCATTCTCAGCACTGCAGTAACACTGACGTGGTGGGGGTGTGTTAGTGTGTATTGTGCTGGTACGAGTGGATCAGACACAGCAGTGCTGCTGGAGTTTTTAAACACTGTGTCCACTCACTGTCCACTCTATTAGACACTCCTACCTTGTCAGTCCACCTTGTAGATGTAAAGTCAGAGACGATAGCTCATCTGCTGCTGTACAGTTTGTGTTGGTCATCCTCTAGTCCTTCATCAGTGGTCACAGGACGCTGCCCACAGGACGCTGTTGGCTGGATGTTTTTGGTTGGTGGACTATTCTCAGTCCAGCAGTGACACTGAGGTGTTTAAAAACTCCAGCAGCACTGCTGTGTCTGATCCACTCAGACCAGCACAACACACACTAACACACCACCACCACGTCAGTGTTACTGCAGTGCTGAGAATGACCCACCACCCAAATAGTACCTGCTCTGTGAGGGTCCATGGGGGTCCTGACCACTGAAGAACAGGGTAAAAGGGGGCTAACAAAGTATCAGAGAAACAGATGGACTACAGTCTGTAACTGTAGAACTACAAAGTGCACCTATATAGTAAGTGGAGCTGATAAAATGGACAATGAGTGTAGAAACAAGGAGGTGGTCATAATGTTATGCCTGATTGGTGTGTGTGTGTGTGTGTATATATATATATATATATATATACACACACACACACACACACACACACACACACACACACATGTGGTAATAATGACTAGTGGGCTACTTTGTGAACGAATACTCATAATTGTGCAGCCCTAGTTTCAACAGATGTGTTCAGATTTGTATACAGAGTCAGTGGAGAGGCCCACAAGATGATTCAGGGGACCAGAATAAACTTTATATAGGGTCACCATTGCACAAAAACCTTAAAACTTTGATTCTCCATTTTTATTGTTTTATTGCTGTGCAGCTGAAAACGCTTGTTTTATGGGTTAGTTTTTTTGGGTCAGGGGTCTCTGGTCTGATGATGTCACCTGTTCTCAGTGGTCTTCAGGTTAGCCATCAGCACTCTGAGCATGCTCAGTCCGTCACAACGGCGATACCTCACCTGCAGCTGCACACATACACTCCTCCCACTCAGCAGGGCTGCAGAGAGAGAGGGAGAGAGAGAGATTCAGAAACAGGGAGATACAAAGATATATATACTTAAATATATAATATATTTATATATATCTTTCTCACTGAGAAGTACAATCACTATTGACTCATTCAGTCTGCTTAGCTTCGTTATGACAGCGCTATCAGAACAGTGTGTGAGTGATGTTTAATACTCTCCCCTCACCGCGGGTCTTTTCCGTCTCTCCGTACTGAAACGTAATCTTTGATTTCTCAGTGATGTTTCCCACCTCCCGCATCCCACGATGCCCTGCTTCCTTCTCTCCTCTCAGACTCCTGAAAACCACAGATACATACACACACCATCATGGTTTTCAAGTCCAATACTGTACAAAAGTTTAAAAACAGCACCATACTAAAGTTTAGAAACCCTGTTAGAAAATTTAGAATCAAGTCGAGTCAAAGTTTGTTTATATAGCTGTTTTTTTACAGCAGGTGTATCACAAAGCAGCTTTACAGAAAAATCTGGGCCCAAGCCCCCATGAGCGTCGCCAATTAATAGTTAATATTAATAGTCCACAATTAATAGTTTAGATTCAATGTTCAGAAGTTTAGAATCAACATTCAAAAGTTTAGAGTCCACAATTAATAGTTTAGATTCAATGTTCAGAAGTTCCAACGTTGAAATGTTTAGAATCAATGTACAAAAGTTTTGTGCAGCCCTCAAGAATTTCGTTTCACAAGAAGTTTGCTGAGTGTTTAGCAGGGTAACAGGTGAAGACTCACAGTGCTGAGGGCAGCAGCAGGGTGACGGTGCAGTGTGTAGCGATGGTTCTGTCATCAATGAGTCCCATAAACTCAACATACAGATCATCACAGCTGGAGATCACCACCTACACACACACTACACATTACACACCAACACACGGACTACAGTCAAACCAGTATGATGCATCTCCACACAGGTACAGACCTTTCCTCCGGTTCCATCGGTCAGTCGTCCTAACTCATCCAGCCTGCAGCCGGACCTGTCCACAGCCACTACAGACACTGATACCCTGCAGACAAAACACAGTTCATTTATTTAATCCAATCAAAACAGCCATTAAGGGCAAGTTATTCATTTTTCAGTGCCAGGAAAAAAAGCAGAAACACATATTTTACATAAAACCATGCAGAGTCCTCAACAGGTTTAAAGCTTCTCAAAGAATCTTCCATTCTGTTCAGGAGCCTCACTTTCAGCTCCTCAAAGAATCTGCAGACACACCTCCAGAGTTCAGTCTTAGAAGCTGGTTGATCATTTTCTGAAGTAATCAAACACATTCAGTGGTGTTGAGGTCTGGACTCTGGGGTGGTCAGTCCATCGTTCAGCTTCTTTGTTTGATGTGTCCGTCTCCTTTTCTCAGTGAGGTTCTTCTTGATCAGCTACACATCCTTTCAGACCCACAGCGCTGAGTCGTCTTCTCACAGTGGAAGGATGGACAGAAACACCTGTGGATGTTTTCAGATCTGAAGCAGCTTGATTTTCTCCTCTCTCTCAGAGATGAAAGCTTGAAGTGCTGTTTATCTGAACGGGCAGTTTTGGGGTCGACCAGCTCTTCCAGGTGGTTGTTAGGAGACACATTTTCTCTGTAGCTTTAATCAGGTTTTGAACTCCAGTTTTTTTTTTTTACTCATTTTTCTTTGACTCTCAACTTTTCTTCTTTATGCAAGTGTCTTGTGTCTAATATCTTCAGAAATCTTATTGTTACAATAACGTTGCTGTGAGGATTTGATTGCATTCAGCCACAAGAGGGTTAGGGAGGTCAGGTTTAAATTTGGATGAGAAGGCCTGGCCTGGTCAGTATTCCAGTTTATCCCAAAGCTGATCAGTGGGGTTGAGGTCAGGGTTCTGTGGTTCTTCCACATCAAACTCAACAACCTATTTTTTTGTGGAGCTCACTTTGTGTACAGGAGGCGCTGTCCTGCTGGAACACGAAAGGATCTTCCCCAAACTGTTCCACAAAGCTGGAAGCACACGGTTTCTCCAGCGCAACACACACTAACACACCACCACCACTCAGTGTCACTGCAGTGCTGAGGATGATCCACCACCCAAATAGTACCTGCTCTGTGAGGGTCCATGGGGGTCCTGACCACTGAAGAACAGGGTAACAAAGTATGCAGAGACACAGATGGACTACAGTCTGTAACTGTAGAACTACAGAGTGAAACTATATGGTCAGTGGAGCTGATAAAGTGGACAGTGAGTGTAGACATGAGGAGGTGGTTTTGATGTTATATGTTTCTTTTTATTAGGGCATTATTAATTGCTTGCTTATAGTTCATTAATTGTTAAGACACAGACCCTTAAATAAAGTGTTACTGTTACCTGATATCAAACTTACACTAAACCCATAGGAGTAGAGTATAAAATGATCTAAAGGCTGATGTTTATCAGCACTTTTCTGCTTTTCACTTATAGCTGTGCTCTGTTTACTGTCTGCTACCAGGTGCCGGAGACCCTCTCGTCCAATGTGCGGCAGCTGCAGTCTTTATCTTCACTGGTGTAAACAGAGTAAACAAAACTGGACCAAAACGTAAGATGCTCTATGCTGCCCTCTGGTGCAGCATAGAGGTTAGACACCTCAAGCTTCTTATAAGGGCAGAGCTCATTTGCATAACAAACATCCTAATTTACTATTTGATTTTAAACCTTTGTACCTATTTGACTATTCGGATAGTCTGACTGCTTCCTGGTTAGTGTAAGTGTATGTGTTGGTGTGTGTATTAGTGATCATACCCCTGTGCAGCTGCGGTCTCTCCGAGCTCCTGGTAGAATATTGAAGAGGAGACGATAGAGCGAGAGTGAGAAAGTTCAGGGTCCAAATTACCCAGTCCTGCGTTTGGAACCCCATCAGTACACAGCAGCACCTGACACACAGAAAAGCAGGACTTTATGTGGATGATAATGTAGTTCCAATTTCAGTTTAAATGCATAAGTAAGGTCTGTCCAAGCTGTTTTACTAAATTCTTTAATTTAAATAAGCTTTCATAGCTTATTGTCATAATTTGCAGCAAATATATAAAGATTTGGGGAATGTTGGTGACTATAGTGTTTGTTAGCACCATTAGCCTGACAGCTCCAGTTCTAAACTAAAGAAGCAAAACTCGGACATGTCTTGGCTGCTTAACTGCATTTGAGGTTGGAGGAATATCATGTTAATTTGATTATTCACCAAGCTATTCCTTTAAGTACAGTAAAACAGTAGAAACGGTAACTGTTCTACTGTAGGGTGCTGTTCATAAGACTACATAACACCTCCATAAGCTTGCAATGGCAACTGACATAACCTACATAACTTTTTATAAATGCTTATTCCAACAGGCATCACCTGTCATAAAGGTTACTTTAGCTAACTTTGATGAAAATTGGCAAATGTAACCTTTATAGCTCATGACGCCTATTTGAATAAGTATTTAAGAACATTTATGTAGGGTTATGTCAGTTGTCATGACAAGTGCAGGTGTCATATAGCCATATGAACAGCACCCTACAGTAAAGTGTTACCATAGAAGCTTATAATGATAATAGTATGCTGACCTTTGATCCAGGGTGCTTGGAGGCCATCATTATGGAAACCAGAGCAGCAGCTCCCAGAGAAGATGCTCCACTCTCCTGAAGCCTGTGATGGGTTACACAGGAAGTAACATCATCACTATTATGGCTTTAAGATAAGTAGATATATAGCTGTTTTATTTTAAAACTATTAACTCCTTAACAATAAGTGCAGCTTTGAAAACACATTTGGGACTTTTAACTGAACTTGAGCTTTAGACAAAAAACCTTTTTGCTCTGAGTGAATCTACTTTAATTGAGCTCAAAAGCACAGCCAGTACATGACCAGCAAACACAGCTTTGAACAGCTGTTCACACAGAAAATCATCAGATTTTTTATTGCATCACAAAAACATTACTTAAGTGCAGAAAATGTGTTTCAGTAGTGACAGTTCATAATTTCCCACACTGATTTTCAGACTTTGTGTCACGCCTCCCTCCGGCTCAGCAGGGACTGACACTCCTCACACCGTTCAGGACTCCAACTCCAAGAATCCTCTGGGGATCACATGACCATGAACTCTCAAACGCCCACCTATCCATGCTCTTGTTCACCTGATTAATGATTGTTGAGACCTGTTGTGTATATAGTCACTACATGTTTGAGTTGCTTCTTTGTGAAGTACTGTATCAGCCCTCTGTGCATTACTGAGCCTTCATTTCTTAGTTTGACTTCCCGGTTTGTTTTCCTGCTTGTTTTCTCGTTCATGACTTTAGTCTGACCCCTTTTGACTCTGTTTGCTCTTCCGTGTATTTGACCCTTTGCTCGTGTTCTCCTGTTCTGATTTAGTCCAGCCTTTATTGCCCCGTTTGCCTGTGTATCGATCTTTGCCTGTTTTTTTTATGACGATTCTGGATTTGTCCTTATTAAACGTTTTCTGTGAGCATCTGACTCTTTCCAAAGCCGCCACACTTTGGGACACATTTCCTTAAAAACAAAGGGATCTAACTGCTCACCATGTGGCCATGAGGGACAGGGATGCAGCCTCACTTCCTGCTCTAAAATGCAGGGTCGTGGCTAAAACAAGGCTCTGCCTACAGATTAAAACTCTTTGTGTGTGTGTATGTATAGTTGGAGTAGTTACTTGTGAATCTCCATCTGCAGGCTGGCTTGACTCTGAGAGAGAGGAGGCGGAGTCGGAAAGCTAAGCCCCGCCTCTTTGAGGTATTCTTTGTCAGACAGTTCTCCTCCTTGAAGAACTTGGGACGGAAGCTCACCAACACTGTGCATTGTTACCTAACAAAGCACACACATCAAACTTTTCATTAATGAAATTCTGTAATTTTCTACAACAGTAATAGACACAGGAAGTAATTTTACTTATTAAAACTTCAAAAGTGACTGTAAGTAAAAAGTAACAATGCAACAAAATGTTCGATAGCTTTGTATAGAACCTCATTACTACATTACATTTTTTCCTTTATGAGTGTAATGTTACTGCAGAGGGTTATAAATGTCTGATCACTGCAGGTTATAAGTATGTTTTGCTGAAAGTTATGGATACCTTATACCTTATCACTTAAGGTTATGAGAACCTTATCGATTAGCAGTGCCGTATCATGGAAGTCACAAGTAACTTGTCACTGAACATCAAGAGAACCTTATTCCTGAAGGTTAGTAGTACTTTACCGCTGAAAGTGATGAGTACCTTATTAATGAGAATTAAAAGTATTTTATCACTAAAGGTTAAGAGTACATTATCACTAAGCAGTGCTATATCAGTAAAAGTTAGGAATACCTTATCACTGACTGTTAGGAGTGCCTTTTTACCGAAGGTTAGGAGTGCCTTATCACTAAAGGTAGGGAGTACTTCATCATTGATGGTTAGGAATACCTTATCACTGACTGTTAGGAGTGCCTTTTTACTGAAGGTTAGGAGTGCCTTATCACTAAGGCTAGGAGTGCCTTATCACTAAAGGTAGGGAGTACTTCATCATTGATGGTTAGGAATACCTTATCACTGACTGTTTAGGAGTACTTTATAACTAAAGGGTAGGAGTATCTTATCACTGGCTGGATAGGAGTACCTTACTAAAGGTAGGGAGTGCCTTGTCACTAAAGGTTAGAAGTGCCTTATCACTGAAGGTAGGGAGTACTTTATCATTGATGGTTAGGAGTGCCTTATCACTAAAGGTAGGGAGTGCTTTATCACTGACTATAGGGAGTACTTTATCATTGATGGTTAGGAGTGCCTTATCACTAAAGGTAGGGAGTGCCTTATCACTAAAGATAGGGAGTACTTTATCATTGATGGTTAGGAGCGCCTTATCACTAAAGGTAGGGAGTGCCTTATCACTAAAGGTAGGGAGTACTTTATCACTGATGGTTGGGAGTGCCTTATCACTAAAGGTAGGGAGTGCCTTATCACTAAAGGTAGGGAGTGCCTTATCACTAAAGGTAGGGAGTGCTTTATCACTAAAGGTAGGGAGTGCCTTGTCACTAAAGATAGGGAGTACTTTATCATTGATGGTTAGGAGCGCCTTATCACTAAAGGTAGGGAGTGCCTTATCACTAAAGGTAGGGAGTACTTTATCACTGATGGTTGGGAGTGCCTTATCACTAAAGGTAGGGAGTGCCTTATCACTAAAGGTAGGGAGTGCCTTATCACTAAAGGTAGGGAGTGCCTTATCACTAAAGGTAGGGAGTGCTTTATCACTAAAGGTAGGGAGTGCTTTATCACTGACTATAGGGAGTACTTTATCATTGATGGTTAGGAGTGCCTTATCACTAAAGGTAGGGAGTGCCTTATCACTAAAGGTAGGGAGTGCCTTGTCACTAAAGATAGGGAGTACTTTATCATTGATGGTTAGGAGTGCCTTATCACTAAAGGTAGGGAATACTTTATCACTGATGGTTGGGAGTGCCTTATCACTAAAGGTAGGGAGTGCCTTATCACTAAAGGTAGGGAGTGCCTTATCACTAAAGGTAGGGAGTGCTTTATCACTAAAGGTAGGGAGTACTTTATCACTGATGGTTGGGAGTGCCTTATCACTAAAGGTAGGGAGTACTTTATCACTGATGTTTGGGAGTGCCTTATCACTAAAGGTAGGGAGTACTTTATCACTGATGTTTGGGAGTGCCTTATCACTAAAGATAGGGAGTGCCTTATCACTAAAGATAGGGAGTGCCTTATTACTAAAGGTAGGGAGTACTTTATCACTGATGGTTGGGAGTGCCTTATCACTAAAGGTAGGGAGTACTTTATCACTGATGTTTGGGAGTGCCTTGTCACTGAAGGTTAGGAGTGCTTTATCACTGAAGGTTAGAAATGTCTTATCATTAAAGGTGGGGAGTACCTTATCATTGACAGTTAGGAGTGCCTTATCACTGATGGTTAGGACTGACACTAAAGGTAAGGAGTATCTTATCATTAAAAGTAAGGACAATATTATCACTTAAGGTAGGGAGCACTTTATCCTTGATGATCAGAAGTGCCTTATCACTGAAGGTTAGGAATATCTTATCACAAAAGTTATGGAGTACTTTATCATTGATTTTTAGGAGTGCCTTATAACTGACAGTTAAGAATATTTTTTTACTACAAGTACAGTATACCTTATTACTAAATTAGGATTAGGAGTACCATATCACTGAAGGTTAGGAATATCTTATCACTAAAGGTAGGGAGTACCGTATCACTGATAGTTAGGAGTAACTTATCACTGGAGGTTAGCAGTAACTTATCACTGATGATTCGGAGAACTTTATCACTGACAATTAGGAGTATATTATCACTAAAGATTAGGAGTACCTTTTCATTGAAGGTTAGGACTACCTTTACTGTAAGCCCGGATAAGTTGCATTTACTTAAAAAAAACTGAGGAAACCGGTTGCCTTAAAAAAATAAGTAATGTGTAATGAAAACGAGTTAGAATAACTATAATTTTACTTTACTGTGAACATGGCCACTGACCAAAACAAATGCTCACTTGTCAGCATAAAGAACGATGACCTTCGCTCTTAGCTAACTAAACAATGTGAGGCAGCTGAGTAAAGCATATATAAAAAAACATACGTCTGAGGAAAGGCAGCCTGGGTGGAATGAAAGCACACTGACGGTGAGTAAAACAAAGGGAAATAAACACTCAGGATGCAAATAGATGGAGCCAGGAGCCAATGGGAAAGACATATGTTTTATCTAATAAGATCGTGTTAACAAAACAAACATGTAACTGTATTTCACAGCTTACTTAGCTTCACTCAGTTTCACACATCTGTTCAGCAACTTTAATGAGAAAGAAACAATTAAAACCAACAGAAATGTCGTCATTTTTTGAATGTGGGGTTTCAAAGTTGCCATAGCAACAGACTAAACTAAATAGCAATAAGTTAATTCAACTCAAAAATGTCATTTGGGTGTACAAAATCATCAGAAACGTTCCCTTAACTTAAAATTGTTGAGTAATATGTAAGTAATACTGAGTTTTATGTACAACAGACTTAATTTATTTGAGATAAAACAAAATGTGGGATTACAGTGTTGTGACTAAAAGTTAGGAGTACCTTATCACTAAAGGTTACAAGTACTTCATTGCTGAATATCACAAGTACCTCATTACTGAAGGTAAAAAGTAGACTACTGCTGAGGGTTACAAGTACCTTGTCCCTAAAATCATGAGTACTTTATCAACAATGGTTATGAGTACTTCAAACCTGAAGGTCATACGTGGCTTATCACTGAAGGTAAAGAGTACCTTATCACTGAAGGTAAAGAGTACCTTATCGCAGGAGGTTAGGGTTACCTCATCGCAGGAGGTTAGGATTACCTTATGGCAGGAGGTTAGGGTTACCTTATGGCAGGAGGTTAGGAGTACCTTATCGCAGGAGGTTAGGATTACCTTATCACAGGAGGTTAGGAGTACCTTATCGCAGGAGGTTAGGAGTACCTTATCGCAGGAGGTTAGGAGTACCTTATCGCAGGAGGTTAGGATTACCTTATCACTGAAGGTAAGGAGTACCTTATCGCAGAAGGTTAGGGTTACCTTATCGCAGGAGGTTAGGGTTACCTTATGGCAGGAGGTTAGGGTTACCTTATGGCAGGAGGTTAGGGTTACCTTATCGCAGGAGGTTAGGGTTACCTTATTGCAGGAGGTTAGGAGTACCTTATCGCAGGAGGTTAGGAGTACCTTATCGCAGGAGGTTAGGGTTACCTTATCGCAGGAGGTTAGGGTTACCTTATGGCAGGAGGTTAGGGTTACCTTATCGCAGGAGGTTAGGGTTACCTTATCGCAGGAGGTTAGGGTTACCTTATGGCAGGAGGTTAGGAGTACCTTATCGCAGGAGGTTAGGGTTACCTTATCGCAGGAGGTTAGGATACCTATCACTAGTAAAGAGTACCTTATCGCAGGAGGTTAGGATTACCTTATCACTAAAGGTAAAGAGTACCTTATCGCAGGAGGTTAGGGTTACCTTATCACTAAAGGTAAAGAGTACCTTATCGCAGGAGGTTAGGATTACCTTATCACTGAAGGTAAAGAGTACCTTATCGCAGGAGGTTAGGTTACCTTATTGCAGGAGGTTAGGAGTACCTTATCGCAGGAGGTTAGGGTTACCTTATCGCAGGAGGTTAGGATTACCTTATCACTAAAGGTAAAGAGTACCTTATCGCAGGAGGTTAGGGTTACCTTATCACTAAAGGTAAAGAGTACCTTATTGCAGGAGGTTAGGATTACCTTATCACTAAAGGTAAAGAGTACCTTATCGCAGGAGGTTAGGGTTACCTTATTGCAGGAGGTTAGGATTACCTTATCACTAAAGGTAAAGAGTACCTTATCGCAGGAGGTTAGGGTTACCTTATTGCAGGAGGTTAGGATTACCTTATCACTAAAGGTAAAGAGTACCTTATCGCAGGAGGTTAGGGTTACCTTATGGCAGGAGGTTAGGAGTACCTTATCACTAAAGGTTAGGAGTACCTTATCGCAGGAGGTTAGGGTTACCTTATGGCAGGAGGTTAGGAGTACCTTATCACTAAAGGTTAGGAGTACCTTATCACTAAAGGTTAGGAGTACCTTATCGCAGGAGGTTAGGGTTACCTTATTGCAGGAGGTTAGGATTACCTTATCACTAAAGGTAAAGAGTACCTTATCGCAGGAGGTTAGGGTTACCTTATTGCAGGAGGTTAGGATTACCTTATCACTAAAGGTAAAGAGTACCTTATCACAGGAGGTTAGGGTTACCTTATGGCAGGAGGTTAGGAGTACCTTATCACTAAAGGTTAGGAGTACCTTATCACTAAAGGTTAGGAGTGCCTGTTGGTTAGGAGTATCTTATCACTAAAGACTTGGAGTACCTTATTACTATGGTTAGGAGTACCATATCAATGAAGGTTAGGGGTACATTATCACATTTGTTTAGGAGTGCTTTATCACTAAATGTAAAGAGTATCTTAGGGGTACATTATCACATTTGTTTAGGAGTGCTTTATCACTAAATGTAAAGAGTATCTTATTGCTGAATATCACAATTATCTAATTACTGGAGGCAAGAGGTAGATTATTGCTGAAGGTTACAAGTACCTTGTCCCTAAATATTGTTAGTAACTTATCAATGATTATTATGAATATTTTATTGCTGAAGGTCATAAGTGACTTTTCATTGAAGGTAAGGAGTACTTTATCGCTGGAGGTTAGGAGCACCTTATCACTGACGGTTGGCAGTACCTTATCACTGAAGGTAAAGAGTACCTTATCACTCAGGTTCAGGAGTACCATATCAATAGAGGTTATAAGTTCTTATTATTGACGTTAGGAGTACCTTATCATTAAAGGTTGGGGACCTTACCACTGACTGTTACAGGTACTTTATTGCTGAATATTACAAGCACCTCATTACTGAAGGTAAGAAGTAGTCTGTTGCTGAAATTTACAAGTACCTTGTTCCTAAAAGTTATCAATATCAATGATGATAACGAGTACTTGATTGCTGAAGGTCATACGTATCTCACCCCTGAATATTAAGAGTAAGTTACTGCTGAAGTTTAGGAGTACTTAGTCACTGACTATTTTAAGGGCCTTATCCCTGGAGGTTACAGGTACCTTTTTCCTGAAGTTTTGCCTAACCAAGGTTATGAATACCTCAGGTCCTTTGAGAGTTTGAGTGCCTTATAGCTAAAGGTTACACATACTTTGTGACTAAAGGTAAGGAGAACCTTTTCACTCATTACAAAAACTTTATCACTGAAGTTTAGGAGGTTCTTATCACTGACACTAACAAATACTGAAGGTTTTTGAGTATGTGCAATAAAAAGGCACTCATAACTTTAACACTGAAGGTTGTGAATGCCTTGTTAATGCAATTAGGAGTATCTTACCAAATGAAGGTTACAAATACTTGGCCACTAAAGTTTTAAGTTACTTACCAGTTGAGGTTACAGGTACTTTTTCCTGAAAGTTACAGGCTCCTTTTTCCTGATGCTTATTAGTACCTTTTGGATGCAGGTTACAAGTACTTTACCACTGAAAATGGTAAGTACCTTACTACACTGCAGGAGTACCTAATAATTTAAAATTGCAAGTACCTTATCGCTTAAGGATACATGCACCTTATTGCTGATTCTTACAAGGTCCTTATCACTCAAGTTTCAAGTTACCTTATCATTGAATGTTACAAGTCCAATACGAAGCTCTGCATCCCTCTCACCCAGAGTCTGGACACACTGCAGCATAGCTTCCTGCACAGACTACACACAATCACACACATTCAGTCAGCTGTTTGTAAAAAACTGAAACAAATAAGGATGCTTATGGCTGTTTTCTGAATTGCAAATACCTCTGTTTATGAAGAATATGCATTCACACATGGAGAAACAGATTATTTAGCAATATAATTGATTCATAGTCAACAGCCCAGTGTAACTCACATGGAGACGGGATCTGCATGTAGCATTACTCTCCACTTCAACCTGCAGCAGGAAGTGCAACATAAGACACTTTAACTCATGAACCAAAGTATTTATAACAGATAAACAGGAGAACTTAATTCTAAATGATATACAGAAGTACACACAAATATTTGAAGAAAAGATTAACAAAAGTAACACAGAAAGAAATAAAAAATTTAATTAATTCTTATATAAATATGTATTTTTATTGAAATATTGTACACTGAGGTGCCAGTTTACACTTGTCTGCCATTTTATCAGGCACACCTGAGAGTGCAGGCATTTATTAGATACATAATATGTATTTTTGTGTTTGGGCACAAGTAGGCTGTGAAAAATTATGAAAGCAATGATTATCTTTTAATAAACCTTTGAAAAAGTAACTATTTAAGATTAAAAAATGAAATAACCGGTAAATATAATTGGTGGTCATCCAATTACTGACTATACAGTTTATGTTGTTACTTTTCTTCATAATGTTTTGTGTACATTTTTTTCATTTCTTTCTATGATCTAGTAATGCTGGAGATAATAGCTGTACGTTTACTGATTTTCTAATTTTAACAATATTTCTGCTCAAATGCCAATCAAACGCCTGTTCTTTTTTCAGTCCATCATCATTTATGGCTGAACTACACAGTAAAAACTCACTTTACAATACACACATACCTGAGTGCTCATGGAGTGCGAAGTACAGATACAGAATATGAGCAGATTTCCATCCAGCGATTGACCCTTAAGGTCAGGAGTCAACAAGAAGAGCAAGTCCTCATAGCCAGTGGGTGGGCCTGGGGCAGGGGAAGGGGCGGGGCTCCAAGACTGACAAAAATAACATTCTTTTACCTAAAAAAAGAGAGGCGTGAGACTTTTACTGCAAGCGTTAGTCTAACACAGTGCTCTCCAACCCTGGACCTGGAGATCTACCTTCCTGCAGAGCCTAGTTTCAACCACAATCTGCCACACCTGCTCCAGATAATCAGACCTCTTCCCAAGTCCCTGATCGGCTGGATCAGATGTTTAGAGTTAAATGGGGGTGGGGCAGTTTATTCGATACAGGTTGGAACTAAACTCTGCAAGGTAGCTCTCAGCACCAGGGTTGGAGACCACTGGTCTAAAAGGTAACTTAAGTATTTGTTGAGTTTTGCCAGCATAAGAATATGTGTAATTGTTTTACACCATTTGAAATTCACTGGCTCTTTATGTTATGAGAACATTTAATGATGAATGGACCAACAGAAATCATCCAGAATTACTTGGAATAAAATCCTGGTAACATGTTCTGAATGTTTATAAGAACATACAAACACACTCAAAACAATGAATTCATCAAAATGATTTTACAAGGCATTCTAAATATGTGTAAATATTTATGTATTGATTATACATTATATATTGATTATGCATTATTATATGTTAACATAATGCATTATAAGTAGTGTTCATAATGTTATATTGTCATATTGTCATAGTCAAGTTATTGCCATAACTTTTGCTCAGGCTACACTCCATGTTTACATTTTTTCCCCAGTATGTTAAATTTAGCAAATAAAGTTGCAATCATGCATTAAAATGTGCAGTAGCATAGGATGTGATAACTTATTTACAGTTAGATCAACAATCAATGAGATTCGTTCAGGGGTTCACATTTTGCATATGAATATATTTTAACATGTGCATGGAAGCTTTAAGTAAAGTGACAGAATTGATGTGCTTGTCGTTATGGGAGGAGATCATTATTGATACATATATTATGATTACAATTATGATTGCAATATAATGTGTTATTAACACTGCTTATAATGCATTACATTAACGATCCTGTTTAATAAACATGGCTATAAAGTGTAATGTGTTTTTATAAGTATTGACGAACACATTTATGGTGTTTTATGGATTTATGAATGTGTTCATAGGTTCTTATAGACATATTCTGTGTTGTGTGTTATATGTGTGTGATTTGTACCGTGTTATCATACGTGGACTCAAACACTGATCCACACCCTAAGCAGCATGATGGCTCACCCTGCATACGCTCACCTACACACACACACACACACACACACGCACACACACACACACGCACACGCACACACGCACACGCACACGCACACACGCACACACACACACACACACACACACACGCACACGCACACGCACACACGCACACACACGCACACACGCACACACGCACACGCACACACACACACACACACACACAAAATCAGTGCAGAGATAATTAACATTAACCCTTAGACATCACAGCTTATCACCAGCAATAACAGAAACAGGCTGTAAAAGCAGCAAAATAATAATAAATAAATAAATAAATAAATAAATAAATAAATAAAAGAATGAATGAATAATAATATATGTCTAGATCTTTCAGGGTATATTTTAACACAGAGCAGGTACTATTTGGGTGGTGGATCATTCTGAGCACTGCAGTAACACTGACGTGGTGGTGGTGTGTTAGTGTTTGTTGTGCTGGTACGAGCGGATCAGACACAGCAGTGCTGCTGGAGTTTTTAAACACTGTGTCCACTCACTGTCCACTCTATTAGACACTCCTATCTTGTCAGTCCACCTTGTAGATGTAAAGTCAGAGACGATAGCTCATCTGCTGCTGCACAGTTTGTGTTGGTCATCCTCTAGTCCTTCATCAGTGGTCACAGGACACTGCCCACAGGACGCTGTTGGCTGGATATTTTTGGTAAGTGGACTATTCTCAGTCCAGCAGTGACACTCAGGTGTTTAAAAACTCCAGCAGCACTGCTGTGTCTGATCCACTCAGACCAGCACAACACACACTAACACACCACCACCACGTCAGTGTTACTGCAGTGCTGAGAATGATCCACCACCCAAATAGTACCTGCTCTGTGAGGGTCCATGGGGGTCCTGACCACTGAAGAACAGGGTAAAAGGGGGCTAACAAAGTATCAGAGAAACAGATGGACTACAGTCTGTAACTGTAGAACTACAAAGTGCACCTATATAGTAAGTGGAGCTGATAAAATGGACAATGAGTGTAGAAACAAGGAGGTGGACTTAATGAAGTGGTGTGTCTCTGTAGGGGAGACCAATCCCTCCCTGCCGTTTGGCTGTCTACAGCCAATTTAATGCTAACCTTGGAACTCATGTATTGTTATACTTTAAAAACGTATCAAAACTAATTAAATAATAATAATAATAATAATAATAATAATAATAATAATAATACAATGTGAAAACACTAAGCTCTTCATACAGAATGGAAATCTAATATAAATGTAATTTTAATTCATTGTTATATTTAAATAACAGTAATAATTCAAGACGTCTAACGGTTATGGTAGTTCTTATAGCTTTATGAACATTAAGGAGATTTACTCACCCTGCTCTTCACCTACAAGCTTCCCAAGATTAACCAGGAGCACGTTGGGGTTGCCAGGCAACGGCTGCTTGTTATCATCTCCTGCTGGGATCACCACCACCACCACCACCACCATCATCATCAGCATCATCATCAGCATCATGTTCTGGACCCATAATACTCAAATAGCAACATTTTCCCCACACAGGATGATCAGTTTCACTCGTTAACACAAAGATTAATTAAAAGAACAAAACTTTCCCCCTTTATCTCAGATGTAGTCAAACAGCCAAGACGTGTGTGATATAGATATAAGGAGGGAGACATGGGGCAGGTAGGGGTGGGGGTGTGGTAGGGGGGGTTCATGTTCTCTTCAGTGTTTTAATTGAATAATTTGATTTCAAACACATCCAGACTTCTTTGTTGTGACTGGTTTTGACCAACATATCGTCGCTGTCAGTATCTCCAAAATGGTAACTCTAACTACAGGAGAAGAACAAAACCTTCCTCACTTTGAATGCGAGTCAATGTAAAGAGATTTTATTCCAGATCAGTCTGGAGCATTCCTATTGGTCCATCCATTATGAATTTTTGAGACACTGTAAAGGGCAGCTGGTACTTTCAAACAAAAAATGGTTTGTTCCAACAGCAGCTAAATATTTTATTTATATCTGTAATTTACAATGGAAGTTACCTCATACATCGCCACAGTACCAGAAGCCATGTTTGGCGAAAACCAAAGAGTGAAGAACCTCAGAAGATCAAAAGAACCTCATACCAACAATGAAGCATGGTGGTGGCAGTGTTATTGTTTGGGGCTGCTTTGCTCGCCAACTTGCAATCATAGAATGGACTATGAATGCTCTTTCATACCAGAGAGTGACCGAGGAGAACATGGGGCCATTTGTAAAAAAGGTAAAGCTGAAAAGGTGGACCTTTCAACAGGATAATGATCCCAAACATACAAGTAAATCCACTAGAAAAAACTGGAAGGTTGTGGAATTGGTCTAATCAAAGCCCAGATCTGAAATACATTAAGTGCTGTGATGGGGGTTGGGGGGGGGGGGGTGGCGTAGGGGGGGTCAGGGGGGTTGAAACAGATGCCATGCAAGAGTTTGCCAAAAATTCTCCAAGTAGATGCTGGAAATTGTTAGACAGTTATTGAAAATGCCCACAAAAAGTTGTTTCGGCGAAAGGGGGAAAAAATCACGTTTTTATGATTTATTTTGTTACTAAACATTTATTTATACATACTGTTTAACTGAAAATCAAATACTGATATGTCCACAAGCATTTCATTAGATGTACGTCTTCACATGACTGTATATGGACACTTAATGGATCAATTATTCTTTTCATCTTTATAGCAGTAACCTCAAGAAAGTGCTTCAGCTCAGCCATGTTCTTGTGAACTGGTCTCTTGAGGTCATTCCACAGCCACTGGGTCACTCCAAAACTTGTAGTAGATTTACTTCAATGTTTAGGTTCATTGTCCTGCTGCATCTACTGAGCTTCAGCTGGAGGACAACCACCCTGACATGATCCTGTAAGATACCTTGATAACTTTAGGAATTCTTTTTCCCTTAATGATGGCTGTCCAGGCCCAGAGGAAGTTAAGCAGCTCCAAATGTTGATGCTCCCTCCATCATACGTCACTGTTGAGATGATGTCTTCATGTTGGTATGCAGCCCTTTTACACTATACGTTGTGCTGTGTGTTCGTCCTGAACAAGTCAAGCTCAGTTTTATCTGTCCACAGAACATTTTCTAGGTGCTCTTTGGCAAACTTTAGGCATCCAGCAATGTTTTATATTTTTTTGGAGAGCAGAGGCTTCCTCCATGGTGCCCTCCCACGTTTTTTGTAAGGTAGACTTTTGGTCAGAGATTTTACCCAGTTTGAATGATTCCTTCAAGCCTTTAGCTGCAACTCTAGGGTTCTATTTCACTTCATCGTGCCTTTGGAGTGATCTTGGCTGGACGCCCACTTCGACAATTTAATTCCACATCTCTGCTGTGTAGCTGAGCTGAAATCCTGTCAGACCCATAACTGATGAACTGGACACTTCTTAACTTTTGAAAGTGTAAATGTGTAAAATGTTTTGTTACAAATTGAAAACTGGAATATTTAAATGAAAACTAAATATCGATTGATCTTTTGTTTGAGGTAACGCTTAAATGTTCAAGGTAATGATGTTTTGCATACCGTTTAACAGCACATTCTTAATGTAACATCCTTAACAATAATTAGTACAAAACACTTATTATATGAGTCAGGCATCAACAGTGCATCTCCAACCCCCCCAAATCTAAAATGACCTAAAATTACTCCAGTGGTCTGTAGTTTCTGATGGATTTCTGACACTGTATGATAGAGGTCCATGAAAAAAAAATGGACAAAATACCATTATAACTATGCTCATGTACTTTAGTGCATGTTTATAGATAACAGCATGTCATATAGAAACATTATAATCAAATTATTACTGAAGGTAATAACTGTAAGTGATGATTTAGGCAGGTAGCACCAGGCTAATTGGTGGGGTATAAGCTTCTGTTGCTTACTGGCTACATTAGTCTCCAGTGCTAACACTGAAGAGTCAAACATGTCCTGACTGAGTGACTGTATTTGGGGTAATTTTGAGTATATTAGATGTTTTGCTGAACTGTCTCTGTAAGTGTGTAGTGTGTAGTGTCTGGTGTGAGCTGTACTTTCTCAGACCTTCAGAAACAGACGAACTGCTGCCACTCAGACGATCACGGCCCGACTGAGAGGAAGAGGAAGGCAGAACGCAGCCGTATTCTGGGAGTCGCTTCAAGAAGGACGGGCGCGGTGGAGGAGGCGGAGCCGCTGCTGTAACGACAGAGTGTTATGGTGTTAATGGAAACCCATATTGCTGAATTATAACAGTTTTTTTTAATGTGCTTATGTGGTTTATTTAGGCTACAACAAAGCACCAAGTCAAATTTCCATTGGACAGTAAAGCTGAACTAATCTAATCAAACTGCCCAGACCCTCAGTTTTCTCTCCATGATAGGTGGGGATGGTGACATTGTTGGTTAATATTATTTTGCCCCACAAAGTCCCACAGACACACTCCAAAATCTTGTAGAAAGCCTATCAGAAGAGTGGAGGCTCTCATTAATACATACTAGGGGTGCGGGAAAAACTCGATTCTTAGATGCATCGCGATGCGGACATGAACGATTCTGAATCGATTCATTCAACGTCAAAAATCGATTTTCTAAATATTTAATTTATAACGTAGTGTTGACGGAACGCAAAAGGCTGAACTGGAAGTGGGTAAGTGCAGCGCCCGGACAGTCTGTGGCACATAACAAAAACACTACTGGATCAGTGAGAAATCCGACCGGCTCCCTCTGCATTAAAGCCAGGTTAGGTCAGGAGTCACAACACAAATGATAAGAATTTTGCCTTTCAACGAAGTCAGACCACCTTGGGAGCCGCAACATTTAATGCCCAGTATGTCTCAGTGTGTACTAATGTAAAAAAATATAAACGAGAGCGCAGATTTACTTCGCTCTGCTTTAAGCTTTAGCTACAGCCGCTTTCCTCCCATCTCCGCCAGAAAACTTTTCTTCATAACTAGAAGAGTTTCTTGTAAAATGTCTCAGCATGCGGCTGTTTTACGAGGCTGAAGTCGCTTCTCATTCGCCAGTTTCTCGTTCTAATTTTCCCGTTCCACCTTAAATTCTGCCTTAGGCGCCGAATGTAACTGCTGCACCATTTAAGGTGGAACGGGAAAATTCGAAAGAGAAGCGAGTTCATTTTCGCAACTTTTTAGAGAAAGACAGTCTCTCAGCAGATTAAACCAACCGCGCTGCTTATAAATGCGAATAAGTCTCCAAATGTTCGTCTTAAACTGTTTCTTTGTTCGCTACTGGCGAGGCCAGACCTCGGGGCTGTGTGACCTGCTGTCTGCTGTCTGTTCTCAGTCGTTGAGAACCAGGGCTTTCGCGTTATGCTGCACACTTTGGAGCCGAGATTCAGCGTCCAGTCTCGAAAACACCCCCCCACTCTCTACAACGAGACCAAAAGGACGGCTGTAACGCGCTGCGTGGACACCCATTACCGCTGGACCTTATTTCAGGGTAACAGCGCATTTTATCGCAGATGAGTGGCAGCAGCGTCTCTGAATGAGAGCCTTCTAGTTCACTTGCCGCATCACTTCCATTTGTTTTATTAATAAAAGATATTTTAGATAATTAAAGCAAAGTATTTGTAATGATCTGTAATGCATTTACATTATGGATCATTACAAATACTTTGCTTTAAAACTACCAAGTCCTCAGACAGTAGGAAGATAGAAATCCTGTATAGAGAAAAATATGCATCGATAATCGTTTTATAATCGCATCGCAGCCTCTGAATCGTAATTGAATCGAATCATGAGGTGCCTAAAGATTCCCACCCCTACTACATACTAATGCTCTTGGGAATGGGACGTCCACCAAACTCAGATAAGTGTGATGGTCAAATGTGGTGGCCATATACTGAATGTTATGTACTTTATGGATCCTACACTATATGGCCAAAATGATCACACATATGTAAGCTTGTTAGACTCCCCATTCCTTTTGCTGCCTAACTCGGAGCAGCGTGAGAGGCTTGGGGGGGACAATCAAGAATACCCAGGCAGTCCTGTGATTTGAACCTACAGACTTTAAATTGGTGGGTCAACTCTTTCAGCACTGGGCTACTGGCTGAGATATGATGAACCTTGCATAATATGGCAAGCAACACAACCTAACAAGCTGAAAAACTATCAGTGTTGATTTCGAGTTGATCTTAAGTGATTTTAAGCCTGGACAGCTGTAGGGACGGCTCTCACATGACAGCAGAACAGAGTGTTTGACAGTCTTTAGTCATTAAGATGACAGAAAAATCAATTAAGCTAGTGAGTGTCTTAAAAGAAAGGTCTGAATTTATTCAAGTAGCAGTGTCGTTATGTAGTGTAACGCCGACCACGGCAGCAGGAAGGAACAAGCAGGTCCACACAGAACAGCACAGTCTTACTCCACTGTAGTCATCTCTGATGCTGTCGTTACTTAGTGCATTAAAGAAACTTCGAATCTCCAAATTAACAGGACTTTGAATGATGAGAGTGCCGCTTTATGCCACACACAAGATTTCAGCTAATTAAGGTCATTATTAAAAGTAATAATGCACAAAAGTGATTCAAAACAAATAAAACATTCTTACTTTACTACAGTCAAACTAATTAGACACTAATCACTAGTTACAAACTTACAAACCCGCACGTCCAGCTTTATTTGCTGTGTACCCAACTATAAATAAATAAATAAATAAATAAATAAAACACCATATAAGTGTTGCTGACTGAACAAAACCGCTTATCTCTAAAATAGCAACTTTACAGGAGAAGGAAAAAAAAAATCTTGATTTTTAATGGTAGAAAAATGAAATAAGGATATTTTGGACCATTTTATCAAATCTAAACCTGATGTAAAGGGTAAGGTAGGAAAAAAATGCCAAAAATGGAGACACAGCGATAATGTTGAAATAAATTAATGAAAATACAAGAAAAAGCATCCAAAAATCAACATTAAAACTTTACTTTTCATATTTTTCCATATACTTTTCCATATTTGTTTTTCATTTACATAAATACTGATAAAATATATATATATATATATATATATATATATATATATATATATATATATATATATATAAAAATAAAAAAATACTTTGTTTGTTTCATGTATTACATTATAGAGTAGACATATTTATTTACTCTCCCACTGACCTGGTATCTGGGTTCTCTGGTAGTTTGGGGGGCTAAAAGGTGGGTTCCAGTGTTTGAGGTCGGAAGACTCTTTCTCCAGTTCAGGCGATGGCAACTCGTAGATGGATTCACTCTCTGAGGGCGATTGGGGCTTTCTGATTGGCTTTGGTGCAGGGAGGGGCGGAGATCGGGTGTGGCCAAGGTGTTTCCTCCAGTTAGGTGGAGGTGAGGTTACTGAGAAAGAACAAATCAGCATTATCATTCACACACGCCAGTGATGGAGTGGGTAATCAGGAGAGTTCCCAGTGGGCTGGTAGTGTTTTGAGCCGGTTACTGTGAGTTAAGGTATAAACTCACATATAAACTCGCATATAAACTATAAATGTTACGTCCAAGTGCACATCTGTAGTAATTTAGGGTTTAAACCACGACCCTGACTTCTCAGCTTGAATGATGTAGCAGTTGCATTCAGATGCCTGTACAGCCTGTACAGAGCATAACTGCTGTACTTTTTACAGTGGATGGAAATTGAAATAAGATCAGCCTCGAGGCAGGCTGTTAAGAAGAGCCATTTTGTCCTTTAAACAAAAATCAAACCGCCTTGGGAGCCACAACATTTTATGCCCATTTTACCACCTTGGCTGTAAATCTGTCTCAGTATGTGCTGATGAACTAGTATAGGATAAAAATATAAATGAAACACAAACTTACTTTGCTCAGCTTTAAGCTGCAGCTCAGCTGTAGCCGCTTTTCTTGCATCTCCGGCAGGAAACTTTCTTGCAAAACGTCTCTCAACGTTTGACATTTTACGAGCCTGAAGTTGCTTCTTATTCTCCAGCTTCTTGTTCTAATTTTCCCGTTCCACCTTAAATGGTGCCTCAGGTGCCAGAATGTAGCTGCTGCACTATTTAAGGTGGAACAGGAAAATCTGAAAGAGAAGCTGGCGAATGAGAATCTGACTTCAGTTTCATGACTTTTTAGTGTTTGAGTTTCTCACTGCAGATTAAACGTATCAGGAAACCAGCTGGAGTGATTAGAAATGCAAATAAGTCCATTCATCTCCAAATTATCGATGTTCATCTTTAATCTCTCTCTTTGCCGTTTCGTTAGCTACTAGCTAGGCGAGACTGTTGTCTGTGTTGCTATGGTGACCAGCAGTCTGCGCTGATCTTCAGGGTTAAAGGGTGAATCAGCAGTTCTACATTAACTCCAGAGTTTAAGACCATTTATTGTTAAACTGTGTTGAACGATCAGCAGAGCTTTATTTTACTGTAAAGGAGGATTATTTTAGTTTTACCTACAAATCTGATTCAGCTGTGGAGCCTCAACAGGGCAGTGAAAGAGCCGCATGCAGCTCCGGAGCCACGTGTTGCCGACCCCTTTGTGTAGTTGATGAAAAGGACAGAATATTGCTGACACTCCACTGACCAGATAATGATATGATTGTAGTGGTTTGTGTGTCTTTATCTCCTGTGGTATAACGCTGATTTAGGGTAATTATAGATGTCTGGATTGGTTATTGCAGTTAATAACACATAATCAAAGATAACTTACTAATCTGGTACGGATCAACACCTCCGATCAAACTGACTTTTTCTCGATATCTTGATATGGAAGTCGTATCTGGCAGTGACTGCTCGTACACAGTATCCTGAGAGATTGTCACCGAAATGTCTGCAGGATGCTTCTTACAGGTTTTGTGAATACTATCTATAGTAGTGATTGCAAGGAAGTTAATGTAGCTGAGAGAGAGAGAGAGAGAGAGAGAGAGACAGACAGAGAGACAGACAGAGGGAGAGACTCACCTGTGTGTGGGTTTGGTGTGTGCTGTGGCTCTTGCAGTAGAGACAGGAGATTCACGTACACAGGGGTGGGTTTCGTGGGGCTGGCGCTGGTCGGTGTGGGGGGTTTAGGGGTCGTGGGGATGGGGGGCGGGCGAGATGGAGGTTTGAGCGCTCTGATGGGTTTGGGTGATTTGGGGGGTAAGAGGGCGGTGCCTGGTTTAGGGGTCGTGGTCAGAGGGCTGTGTAGGTAACGCCCCGTTCTTGGTGGGAGGAGAGCTGAGAGGAAAAAACACAGAAATGATATGTTTTGATGTTTTGTTGAAGTGAAAATAAAATACAAAGAAAACACATCTGCACATTTGCTCAGTGCACAGTTACTGTTTATTTACTGAATTTAACATACTGGAAATAATAAACATAAGATGTGCTCTGTGCAAAAGATATGGGACATTTCTATTAGTGACTGCTATCTGAACACTGTA